TCAACACAATGAACGCTTTCAGGACGAAACTGACAATAAATGTGAACATTTTAAACTTTTGAATACAGTTGGAACAGAACATGTGAAAACTCTGAGACAGGACAAATGCATGTAAACGTTTGCTTAGAGAGTTATGCTACTTCATTTTATAAATATAATATTGACTAACAGAAATTATCCACCAGGAATTAGTATGCCACTAATGACACTCAGGATAAAAGACGAGCCGAGGTAAATTTTTGATGATATGGACCAAGACATCGATACTAAATCATTTTCTGCTGCACCGTTCTTTGTCTATGGCTGTATTTCCTATATGTATAGAAATGTAATCCCATTGATCGGCTAGTAGATCCTCCGAGCATTAAACAGGATTCAGTTATCATAAGCTATAATGAAGTGCTGCGGGTGCTGGGTGGCCGAGTGGTCTAAACTGAGCAAATCTCAAGTTGGTGGTCTGGAGTTCGATCCCAGTCAAGCAAAATAACCCCGAGTAAATGGGACCCGTCAACCTCGGATGGTGCTCATCTAAGAGAAGGAAACTCTGAAATCAAACTCGGAGATGAAATCCCGATACCATTGGTACGATGAAACATTCCGACAACTCCTGCAACGCCATTGGTGCGAACCTGTATCATCCAAATAATGTTCCCTTGGGTTATCCAATGGCGTGGAGAGAGCCGATTTGCTGTTGGGAACCAGTTTATAATCCTTGAAGAAAAATCCCAGGCCTCGTCCTCCGTATGCCAGCAGTTTCTCGACTATTCAGAACTTGGATATACCAGCTAGTCACGGTGTTATTCAGGTAGTACTTATGCTGCACGCGCGACAGCTTCTTGAAGCCCGAGATGAGAGCATTGATCCGCTACACAAAGGCTCTACAAATGCAACACTATACTTGATATCATTAGATCACTTGCATAAGCGTAATTATAGCTCTAAAACAAACATCACCACCATCAAAGTATCTTTGGCTGAAAAGTCTTACATAAACGAAATCAAACTTGACCAGACCAATGTCTAGTACAGGATGAATAGGTTATCTGTGTGTGTGTGTGTGTTGTCCTTTAACCCCCTGTAACTCATTGAAAGTAGTATTTCAGTGGTCCCCAAGACATGTTACGTAGGATATTTCTGGTTATTTGTAAATCAATTCATGGGTCTTAATTCAAAAACATTAATTTTCAAAATTGTTCCGGTTAAAAAAAAAATTGTCTAGCATTAAAAAAACAACAACTAAGTGTAGATTTTTAAAAGCATTTCTTGAGAGATACCATCCAAATTTGAGCTCTCCTCCCACTTTCAACTCTCCTCCCATTTTGAGCTCTCCTCCCACCTTGACTTCTCCTCCCACTTTGAGCTCTCCTCTCACTTTGAGCGCTCCTCCTACTTTGAGCGCTTCTCCCACTTTGAGCTTTTCTCCCACTTAAGATTTCCTTCCATTTTGAGCTCTCCTCCCCTTTTGAGCCCTCCCTCTACTTTGAGCTCTTCTCCCACTTTGAGCTCTCCTCCCCTTTGATCTCTCCCCTACTTTGAGATCTTCTCCCACTTTGAGCTCTTATCCCACTTTGAGCTCTCCTCCCCTTTTGAGCCCTCCCTCTACTTTGAGCTCTTCTCCCACTTTGAGCGCTCCTCCCGCTCTGAGCTCTCTTCCCACTTTGAGCTCTCTGCCCACTTAGAGCTCTCTTCCCACTTTGAGCTCTTTTCCCACTTTGAGCTCTCCTTTATTTTACTTTATTCAAATTTCAGAGATGTTGAAAATGTATTTCCACCGGGCCTGTATCAATTGTTTTAAGTTTAAGCACGTGGAGAGGAAGGGGGCGGGAGAGGAGAGGAAGTCGAGATTGAGTTTCGTTACGGTTGGTGTTAAGCAAAGTTCATTTAAACGCGATCTGTTGTAGTAAGACAATTAGTTTCTCATTGAATTTCCACTCAAAATGTTTAAGATATAATATAATGCTTTTCAAGTTTGTCGGCCGAAGTCTTGGCTGTACTTTTCCAATGGTAGATCCGTCATTATGCATTATGAATCTATACTAATAAAAGGCAAAGTCCCCACTCACTCACTGACTGACTCATCACTAATTCTCCAAATTCCCCTGTAGATAGAAACATGAAATTTGGCAGGCTTATTCCTCACAGCGTACGTTCAAAAGTTAAGCATGTATCATTTCGAAAATCTATAATGTTTGGGTCCGCACGCCCAAAATGTCGTTTTTTCCTATATGAGCTATATAAATAAAATGATCAACAAATACTGCTACATGAATAGATGGATCTTGATCAAACTTAATAAACATACATTTGATTATCCATATTCAAATACCGAACGGTACTTAACACATAATATCTATCCCTTTGAGGTCGGGGGACCCATCTTATTTTTCCTTTTAAAGCTATATAAATATCACTAGGCTTAGACTTAGATATTCTACTTGAATAGATGGATCTTGACCAAACTAAGTACACTCACTCTCGAATATCAAAATTCAAATGCCGAAGGGTAAAGATCTCATAATATTCATACCACTTCTCCAACTTCCCCTGTAGATAGAAGTATGCAATTTGGTAGGCTTATTCCTTACCGCTCACTTACAAAAGTTACGCAGGTTTCATTTCGATACTCTACCCACAAATGGTCACAACCGGGGGCCCGAATTCGTTTTTTCCCTAATATAAGCTTTATGAATAAAATTAACAAATAATCCTACTTGAATAGATGGATCTTGACAAAACTTAGCACACATACACTTGATTATGCATATTCAAATACCGAAGGGTATTTAACTCACAATATCCATACCTCTTGGGCCGGGGGCCCCATTTTATTTTTTCTTACATAAGCTTTAAAAATATTCATAGGCTTAATACTTCTACATGAATAGATGGATCTTGACCAAACTTATTACTTGATTATCCATATTCAAAAACCGATGGAAACTAAACTCATAATATCAATCCCTCTGGGGCTTGGGGGGGGGGGGGCAATTTCATTTTTCCTAATATAAGTTATAGAAATATCAATAGCTTAGACAACACTTTAGGTTCTATGTAAATAGGTGGATCAAGGCCTAGCTTCTTAGTCCGTATTAAAATTTCAGTGGATTTAAAACTAATAATATCGAATCCATTCAGGACCGATCTGGAATTTTCTAGAAACTTCGATAGTTTAAAAAAGCTTTATCTATGGCATTTTAAAACCAATTTTAATAGGACAAATTTTAAATCTATAATTTATCAGAATGATTTATATATAGGCCCCCCCCCCATACTCAGACATAACTAAAATGGTACTTTATTAAATAGGCCCCCCACCGGGGCCCCTATATCAATTGAAATGTGCTATAGTATAAGTACAATTTAGTTGTATAATATTTGGATTTCGAGAGATAATTACGTAGAAAAGTAATTTTTTACACGTATAATGGAGGATATTAAATTTAGTCTAGAATGTTCTGTATTGTTCTACGGGCTTATATAATTTGATCTAAAGGCTTATTCGAACAAAATGGCACTAAGCATGATGCCCTAGAGAAACAGGATCCTAATGGGACCAATCGTATACGCGATCCCATCGAGGAAAATGATACCATTGAGATCCCATCGGGTAACGGGATCAAACCTCGTTCACTATCCTATCAGTAAAAGGGATAACATCGGAAAAGATAGTGCCTAGGTGGAACGGGATCCCACAGAGAACGGTACCGGTATCCTAAAGGGATCGGTAGTCTTTCCGGAAACACTGAAATCAGGATCCAACTGGGATCAATACACCGACGGGATCGGGATCCCAATGAGATCTGGATTCCCACTGGATCCGGAGTCGCAAAAAAATAGAATCCCACATGGAAAAGATATTGGGTTCAGAATGGGACTGGGGACTCATTAGAATTGGGGTCTTACCAGGATCGGGGTCCTAAGGACAGACCCTACAAAAAGTTGGTATTCATTTGAAGCGAGATTGATTTTCGCAAGGGAATGCATTGTATAGTCCCCGCAATATGTGGATACTTGATAATTTCTTACCCGTTTTTCTTTTAAAAGTCTCTCATCTTCGAAGCGCGGGTATTATGATAGTATGTCAATAAAATTGGCATATGATTATGCAGACTTGAACTGTAATGTTTTGATTTAAAACGAGGCTGTCATATACTTAAGATCACACCTATGATGCAGACTTGAACTGTAATGTTTTGATTTAAAACGAGGCTGTCATATACTTAAGATCACACCTATGATGCAGACTTGAACTGTAATGTTTTGATTTAAAACGAGGCTGCCATATACTTAAGATCACACCTGGATTCATTTTATTTTAATTGTTTAAATTATGATTAAAACGTTAAAAACATGTCACCATTTGGCTGATGGCAACTTCTTCTTTGCAATCAGTTTCTCATAGTGGATCATATGTCGTATCTTTCCACACCCTCCAGTCCCTTGCAATCTTCGCTAACTCACTGTTCATCATAGGCAATATCTTTCCACACCATCCAGTCCCTTGCAATCTTCGCTAACTCACTGTTCATCATAGGCAATATCTTTCCACACCATCCAGTCCCTTGCAATCTTCTCTAACTCACTGTTCATCATAGGCAATATCTTTCCACACCCTCCAGTCCCTTGCAATCTTCGCTAACTCACTGTTCATCATAGGCAATATCTTTCCACACCCTCCAGTCCCTTGCAATCTTCGCTAACTCAGTCCAAATAGTTCCGAAGTCTACCCCTCTACGCCAGTGCTTTCCCCTTCCTATTCAGCCATGACTGTATCATTCCAGAGCTCACAAAATAATTTTGAAGAGAAAATATATTTTGATTAGTTTAAATACTTTTTTTTTTAAGGAGTGAAATTGACGATTTCATAGGAACAGTAATCGAAATTTTAATGTTTACCAAGGCGTCCAAACGAATTATCACCCCTGATTTAGTTTGATGCAATGAGCAAAGAAACTACGGAATGCCAATTTGAAGGAATCAAAATAAATGAATTCTATGAACAATGGTAAATGGTTTTATTGAACAGTTTAATAGTGATGTTCAGTAGAATAAATTAATGTAAACATTTCAACCATGTAAAACAAAATATAAATATATAAAAATATTCGTGGTCATTTGGGTCGAGTTTATGTCATTTTAGAATATCTCCCAAGTGTTTGTGTCTGCTTGTGTATGTAATATAAAGTCATTATAGGTATGGTTGGAATGCGATAAAGCTTAGGCAGTTCAATATCTGTCAGATGTAAGCTATATTATAATTTTTAAAGGGTCGGTTTATTTTAATCTCGCTCCATGATTGTGTTTGTTTGTTCGTATATTTGTGTGTTTGTGTTTGTTTGTTAGTGTGTTTGTGTATTGTAAGCTTGTGTTTTTGTGTGTGTTTAGTTTGCTTTGATTATGTAATGTACAAGCATCTGATCTTTGCCTTCAACTGCATGTGTGTAAGTGTGTTTGTTGTATATAAAATTAAGAATTGCTACTATATGCCGGACGAAATGTCACACCGCCCACACATATAAAGATGCCGCCTATGGTGCTCAGGATAAAGGAGTATCCGATGTCAAATATCAATGATACGAATTCACTGTTGACCTTGGCGCTCCAAACACTGATACATATCATGATGAAAACAACTGAAATGAAAAGGTCAAACCTTACAGATCCATGATTCGTTATAGTATAAAAGATCAAGTAAGTAGTTGCTATACTTTTTTTGTTCACTTTGCCTTTATTGAGTTAGCTTCGCAACTACATGTGTACATATTATTAACAAGATTGATAAGTGAACCACTGACGGAAGCTATGGACGTTATTCATAAACTTACATGACGCTATGCAACCAGCAAATGAGATTGCACCAAACAGGGGATTGTTGGGTTTGCCTCTCACACGTAACACAACAGATATGGCGGCCGTGGCTAGACCAAGGACACTGGCCAACATGCCTAAAATGGCGAAGGCCTCACATGTTTTGATGCAGTCTTCAAAGACATCAGCTGTTGATAGAAAAGTTTTATGTGTCAAATCTATGGTTTTGTCCAAAATGTCTCTTAGAAAAGTATGCTGCAATTTGCTAGTGATGATGGTATTCTGTTTACAGATTTTATTCTAATTAGTTTAAAATTTAACAGAAAATGTTATCACGTTTTAGTTTCAAACTTCTATAACATGTTACATGAAGAGTCTTGATAATGTCAGTTGTGACAAGGCAGTCACGTGTATTTTTTAAAGTCACCTGACAATTTTGGGCTTCAAGTTTGAAAGTTAAAATGTATTGCCACATGACAATTATTGGCCACTTAAATATGAGAGACCCCATGCCCCCACATGTTTCGAGGACCCACACATGTTTTGAGGACCCACACATGTTTTGAGGACCCACGTGACGGTTCTGGTTGTAGTGATGACTGATCTTGTCAAAGCTATCTTCATGACTGATCTTGTCAGTCTATCATGATGACTGATCTTGTCAAAGCTATCTTTATGACTGATCTTGTCAGTCTATCATGATGACTGATCTTGTCACAGCTATCTTCATGACAGATCTTGCCACAGCTATCATGATGACTGATCTTGTCACAGCTATCATGATCACTGATCTTGTCACATCTATCTTCATGACTTATCTTGTCACAGCTATCTTCATGACTGATTTTGTCACAGCTATCATGATGAATGATCTTGTCACAGCTATCATGATGACTGTTCTTGTCACAACTATCACGATGAATGATATTGTCACATCTATCATGATGACTGATCTTGTCTCAGCTATCATGATGACTGTTCTTGTCACAGCTATCATGATGACTGATATTGTCACAGCTATCTTCATGACTGATCTTGTCACAGCTGTCATGATGAATGATCTTGTCACAGCTTTCATGATGAATGATCTTGTCACAGCTGTCATGAAGACTGATCATGTCACATCTATCTTCATGATTGATCTTGTCAGCTGTCTTGATGACTGATCTTGTCACAGCTATCTTCATGACTGATCTTGTCAGCTGTCTTGATAACTGATATTGTCAGCTTTCTTCAAGGCTGTTCTTTTCAGCTGACTTGGTGACTGATCTTGTCAGATGTCTTGGTGACTGATCTTATCTTTATTCATGACTGATCTTGTCATCTTTCTTCATGACTGATCTTGTCAGCTTTCTTCATGACTGATCTTGTCAGCTGTCTTGGTGACTGATCTTGTCAGCTGTCTTGGTGACTGATCCTGTCACCTTTCTTCATGACTGAGCTTGTCAGCTTTTTTCATGACTGATCTTGTCATCTTTCTTCATGACTGATCTTGTCAGCTGTCTTGGTGACTGATCCTGTCACCTTTCTTCATGACTGATCTTGTCAGCTATCTTCATGACTGATCTTGTCAGCTGTCTTGGTTGACTGATCTTGTCAGCTGTCTTGTTGACTGATCTTGTCATCTTTCTTCATGACTGATCTTGTCAGCTTTCTTGATGACTGATCTTGTCAGCTGTTTTGATGACTGATCTCGTCAGCTGAGTTGATGCTCTTTTCTAATTTTTTTGTATTTACGTACAGCGCAAACTTCAAATCTCGTATTTGCATTGTAGGTTTTGGACCATTTCATATCGAGGTTCCCTTAGTATTGGTCGGTTATAATTTGTAAAAAAAAACTCAAATAAGAACAAAACTTTATCTCCAGAAAACTTGGGTGATTAATGACTTTGAAAAGTGAAAAATGTTTCTATATGACTTCTAGATGCACACGTGTCTACTGGTCATCGTGTTTCAAGAAGAAGTAACACATGCACCATTTCTCTACCCTTGTGGTACGGTCTTCCATTTACACGTACATCATGCTTCCTAAGCGTAAAAGGTTTTAAATACAGAATCTTAGCTCAATGAGGACAGTGGATAGTGAAGATTTTGGTTTTTAACCGCGGCAACATTATGAGATTAAAATGAAGTCTATATTTTTGTATCAATATATTGTTGTTCTTATATATTCTTTTACCTATATATTTTATTTTTGTTTCTCTATATATTGTACTTATATAGTGCTGTACCCATGTTACTGCTCACTGACATTATTTGGTGGGGTGGATATACAAGATACTAAAATTACTGAAAGATGAAATAATATTTGTAGTTTTGTTTGACATCAGTCTCACGACATATGAAAGGATATTTGTAGTTGTATTAGACATCAGTCTCACGACATATGAAAGAATATTTGTAGTTTTGTTTGACATCAGTCTCACGACATATGAAAGAATATTTGTAGTTTTGTTAGACATCAGTCTCACGACATATGAAAGGATATTTGTAGTTGTATTACACATCAGTCTCACGACATATGAAAGAATATTTGTAGTTTTGTTTGACATCAGTCTCACGACATATGAAAGAATATTTGTAGTTTTATTAGACATCAGTCTCACGACATGTGAAAGAATATTTCGTAGACCATTATATAATTGCTAGAAAAATCCGCCAAATAATGGTGGCGGCAGCGCATGAACTTAGCGCTCAATTTCTGCGCCCCTAATGAACACAGCGTCACATTCATACATTGACATACATACCTAGAGATTCATTATTTGTGATTGCGGATTCTAATTTCCACATTCTTTGAAAACAAATGGTGACTTACCTACCGCAGTTCCGAATGGGTAATCAAAACATGAGCCTAACTCGCAATATTTCCACAGCCCGTACGACCCACTAGTCTTAAAAGATGATTTTATAACGGACCACGCAGGTGTCGTTAATCCCACAGTGTGTAGAAGGGTGCCGACTCCGATTAGAATTAGTCCTACGAGTGCCGGTACGCCAACTCCTCCAGGAAGTGCCATCTTGATTGTGCTAGAAAGATCTGTAAATTTTATCACATTAAAGGTAATTGCTGGTAAAGAACTCTATGCTAACTATACTGTTAGTGTTTTGTAAAAATCCTTTTTAACGCGAGGTAATTGTTGACTTATTGGAAAGTTAAATTTGTGTTTGAATCTGCAAGCGATATAGCTGAGAGGATTCCAAAACAATATTATTCCTTATGTACCAGCAAGGTACTTGGCACTGGATTTGAACGGTAGCTCTTTTGTTAAACACTACAAGACCAGATGTAACCACCGGTCTTAGGACAACGCACTGCGTAAGATTGCAGGCAACATACGCCAATCATCCTGCAAAGCCATTTAAACGCGCAAAATGGTGAATAGTTCCAGACAGCAGTGAAGTCCGTAAATAAGGTGGATCAATTGACTTGGCGTTTAGAAGCAAAGTGTCCGATCATTCACCAATCTTGTCTGGAACATGGTGTTTAGAAGCAGAATTTCAGATCATTCACCAATATTGTCAACTTTACCAAGGCCTGTGACATGGTCATCAGAGAATTCCACTTAAAGATCATTGTCAGAAATTGCCCACGGAAGTTTCCAAGACAAGGTCCAGCTGTTTTGTGACGATATAATTGAGGTCTATTAACTGAATAATGTAAAAGGCATTTTAGTGTTTTATTCTGCGTTATGCCAGCCATTGATTATAAGATAGGATATAAAGGTACGATTATTGCATTGATCCAAATAAATGTTTTTTTTTATTTATTGTTATGAAATTGTGCATGTTCACTCATGTTCACCAAATTGATACATATTCTGATTAAAATACCAATGATTAAACTAAAAAGATTCATTGAAAGTCAGCCATTTTAAAGAATTTCCGATGCTAAAACTCCACCATCGTATGATTCCTATCTCATGAAACCCTCACATCCGTAATGACAATAATGACGTTAAAAGCTGGAGGCCCCCGTTCTGTGGAATCCTGAAAGAATGGGGAAGAAATAGTTCGTTAACTTTGGGTGTTTAATTTGACAGAAAGGAAGTTCCCCTGAAGATGTGAAGATGTGGCTGGGAAGTAGCCTCCGTATTCATGTTTTAGCGGTTCAAATGAATTTTTATTTCAAATTAAGTTATATTGAAATGTCCATTTCATTTAAATCTATAATGAATATCTATGTACCAATTATGGAAAAAATATGGAAAATGTATCGAAAAATATAGAAAATTTTGTTGACACAAATTCTCAGAAAACGTTAAACAAAAATGTCAGTTTGAACCTTAAAATATACAGAGCATTAAGACTATTTTTTAAACATTGCTTTAATTGCTTCTTCCTTTTTTCTTACGATTGTTAGATTAATTTAGTTTTCCACAACTACGAAAGTACTGAAATGTCAAAGGTCAAGTTATCTAATGTCAATCAAAGTCAAAGGTCAAGTTATCTAATGTCAATCAAAGTCAAAGGTCAAGTTATCTAATGTCAATCAAAGTCAAAGGTCAAGTTATCTAATATCAATCAAAGTCAAAGGTCAAGTTATCTAAGTTTTTTTTAATCCACAAAGTTATGCTTTATCAGAAGTAGACATTGCTATCTGGGGTCGGTAAGTTCAAATCAATATCTTTCATTCAAAAAACAGTCTTCTCATTTTAGTGTCCCAGATAACACCCATCTCCAGGTTCACACAGTTTTAGCGTCCCAAATAACACCCATCTCCAGGTTCACACAGTTTTAGCGTCCCAAATAACACCCATCTCCAGGTTCACACAGTTTTAGTGTCCCAGATAACACCCATCTCCAGGTTCACACAGTTTTAGCGTCCCAAATAACACCCATCTCCAGGTTCACACAGTTTTAGTGTCCCAGATAACACCCATCTCCAGATTAACACAGTTTTAGTGCCATCTCCATCTCCAGGTTCACACAGTTTTTGTGTTCCAGATAACACCCATCTCAAGGTTCACAAAAACACCAGCAGGAGGTGGTGATACCGAAAAGACACCAACAAAAAGTAATTGGATATGTGTTGCCTACACGGACGGAGATAATTTTTCTAGGTCAAAGATTTGACATTTGTCATTAAAACGATATCAGAGATTAAATATTCTTCTTATCACAGATTTTTTTAAAAATCATGCCATTGAGCCAATCATTTGTCCAATAACATAGCTAGTTTGTACATGGGTGCAAGTGACACCGGCTCAGTAACACTGATTTGTTGTTCCAGGAAAGTCATTGCGTGCGTGCGGGAATCTTGTAATAAATAAACATAAAAAATTAAAGAGAAAAAAATATGTCATTTATCATTATGATTAATATAATCGAAAGAAATGTGTGTCAATCATAATGCGTCACAGGAGTTCTGTTTATTGGCTAATTAATTTTTACTGTTGTTTCATGCAGTGCATCTTCCATCAATTTTTGGGTCGGCTATACAAGATGTCTTCCACTTCCGGAAGACATTGTGTGTGTAGAATGGGAGGGGGTGAGTGGTTATAGGGTTGTGTGTGGGGAGGGGGGGGCAGAAATTTGCGTTTAGGATAATAAATGGCGCTTTCTAATTATGCACATTTTGATACATTGACAACATAGATCTTGAAACATTGACAACACACTTCTTCAAACATTAAGAACAATGGCCAAGCGGGGTGCTGGGTGGCCGAGCGGTCTAAACGGTCTCAAACCAAACAGCTGGTGGTCTGGAGCTCAATCCCCACCAAAGCAAATCATCCCAAGCACCCCGGGTAGATGGGACTCGTTAGTTTTGGACGGCAACCCATGTAAGAGAAGGCAAACTCTGAATTGAAACCAGGAGCCAGAATGATCAACAAATTGATCGTGGGCACCTCAAATATAAGAAGAACACACTTTTTAAAACATTAAAAAAACGTATAGAGTCATTAGCTTTTGTTAGTCACGACTTAGTGTCATCAGGTTTTGCTACTTGATATTTCACAGGTCTTGAGGTTTAGTAACCTGATATGTCACAGTCATGACTTAGGGTCTTTAGGTTTTGTAACCTGATATGTCACAGTCATGACTTAAGGTCAATAGGTTTGGTAACCTGATATGTCACATTCATGACTTAGTGTCATTAAGTTTTGTAACTAAAATATCACTGTCATGGGAATTAATGAAGGAATGGGATATTTTTAGAATAGTATTGCAGTTACGGACCGTTTTTTTTATGAACCTAACAAAAATAAACTAAAGAATCATGAATAAAACAGATATCAATACCTATATACATCATTGATTAAACATCCCTTCCTATATAAACAAATGAGTTATCATCCCTACTTCTATATATCACTGAGTAATCATCCCTACCTATATACACCATTGAGTAAACATCCCTTCCTAATACACCATTGAGTAAACATCCCTTCCTATATACACCATTGAGTAAACATCCCTACCTATATACATCATTGAGTAAACATCCCTTCCTATATACACCATTGAGTAAACATCCCTTCCTATATACACCATTGAGTAAACATCCCTACCTATATACACCATTGAGTAAACATCCCTTCCTATATACACCATTGAGTAAACATCCCTTCCTATATACACCATTGAGTAAACATCCCTACCTATATACACCATTGAGTAAACATCCCTACCTATATACACCATTGAGTAAACATCCCTACCTATATACACCATTGAGTAAACATCCCTACCTATATACACCATTGAGTAAACATCCCTACTCATATACATCATTGAGTAAACACACCTTCCTATATACACCATTGAGTAAACATCCCTACCTATATACAGCATTGAGTAAACACACCTTCCTATAGACACCATTGAGTAAACATCCCTACCTATATACACCATTGAGTAAACATCCCTACCTAATACACCATTGAGTAAACATCCCTACCTATATACACCATTGAGTAAACATCCCTACTCATATACATCATTGAGTAAACACACCTTCCTATATACACCATTGAGTAAACACACCTTCCTATATACACCATTGAGTAAACATCCCTACCTATGTATATCATTGAGTTAACATTCCTACCATATACATCATTGAGTTAACATCACTATATATATAAATCTAGAAGGTAACTAAATGACCCTTACCACTCCACGGCTCGACACAAAACGTCAGACGTGGTTCTAGGCGCCTTTAATCAATGACATAAATAAACTCACACATTACTTTTTATAGATAACATAAACAGGGTGTACGACCATCCGAACAGTGTTTCTTGTTTCGCAATACTTACTTGGAGACTAATCAAGTACGTTTGTTAGTGGTTCCCAAATCTATACTTACTGGTTCACAAATCTATACTTACTGGTTCCCAAATCTATACTTACTGGTTCCCAAATCTATACTTACTGGTTCCCAAATCTATACTTACTGGTTCTTAAATCTATACTTACTGGTTCCCAAATCTATACTTACTGGTTCCCAAATCTATACTTACTGGGAGACTAATCAAGTACGCTTGTTAGTGGTCCCCAAATCTATACTTACTGGGAGACTAATCAAGTACGCTTGTTAGTGGTTCCCAAATCTATACTTACTGGTTCACAAATCTATACTTACTGGGAGACTAATCAAGTACGCATGTTAGTGGTTCCCAAACCTTTTTTCATTATAAACCCTATTTTACTTGTAAAATAAAATTTATGGCACTTAAATACTTCCAGATTTTTAAATTGTTCTCTCTTTTAATTTGTTTTATAACAAATAGTTAAGTCCACGAAGTGGTATTTGTTAGACTGTCGATGTTATATCTTACATATTTAGAGATTTTCCTATGTAGTTTTTGACTAATATATTTAAAGGTGCTCCCAAATAGATTTTGACTTAATTTAGAGTTGCTTAAATATAGCCTTTGACATATATATTCAGTGGTGTTCCTATGTAGTTTGTGACATATATATTTAGAGATGCGTCTATGTGGTTGTTGACATATATATTTATAAATGCTCCTTTGCAGTTTTTGACATACATTCAAAGGTGTTCTTCTGTAGTTTTTAAAATATACGCTTAAGAGTGCTTTTTTAAAAGATATTTTTAGACGGGCTAATGTAAAGATTTTCGATACATACTATATTTAAGCTCCTCGTATGTAGTTTATAACATAAATATTTAGAGGTGCCACGTTTCCAGCCCATTGTGAGATTCCCTGCTGTAGATACTGACGCCCGCTCATCAATACTAGTGCATCACTCATCAATCTTTTGACCATTGTTTTAGTTTTATTTGACCTCGGACCTCTGATGTGTTGTAAGGCTGGTACGAGATAACACTGTGTTACATTTAAGACGTTTACACTTGTGGTTCTCAACCTGTAGAGAAACGTTTAGTTACCAAGATAACGCTGGCGGTCATAGAGACAAGAAAAGTGATTTTGAAAGACGTGCTTAGCATATTCAATGGTTTCATTTTCATCGACAAGTTTTACCCTCCTATGACACGTCGTCACTAAATCCATGCGACAAGGCACGAAACAATCAAAACGAATTTAAGTTTTAAGTCAGAATATTTGTTTTTCTTGTGCAAAAGTGTAGACATTGCACAAGACACGAGTCTGCGAAAAAAGTGACTGTGTGTCTGTGTTTGGGGGGGGGGGTTGAGAGAATTGATGGATATTTTTCTATCACCCAACTTTCAAGATCACTAAGAAGAGAACAAACACAGTTTTGAAAAACTACTCCAATGTCTATAGGTACATGAAGGATTCACACGTTTAAAAAAATGTCCACCGTTTCAGTGGTATGTACTTGATCCAACACTACATTAGCTCAGCCCATTTTAACATCGTTGATGGGTGTTAACCTAAAATTTGAAAGCAACAAAACTGTACACATGACGAAACCTGCAGTGTCGGGTCCTTTCAAGTACTTTCTGGTTGGTCGTCAAAACGTGAGCAAGGCGGCTTTCTTAGACTCACCTCACTGGATCTTGGTCTCTCATTAACAATACTGAACTTTTCACGTGTGAGACGTCATCGTTACACCCGACATAAACATATTATAATTTAGTTGAAAGTTTGGCATCCCGGTGTTAGTGATGTCTGTCCCCTTGTTGTCAGTGATGTCTGTCCCCTTGTGTCAGTGATGTCTGTCCCATTGTTGTCAGTGATGTCTGTCCCATTGTTGTCAGTGACGTCTGTCCCCTTGTGTCAGTGATGTCTGTCCCCATTGCTATCTGATGTCTGTCCCATTGTTATCTGATGTCTGTCCCATTGTTGTCAGTGATGTCTGTCCCATTGTTGTCAGTAACGTCTGTCCCATTGTTGTCAGTGATGTATGTCCCCCTTGTTGTTAGTGATGCCTGTCTCATTGTTATCAGTGATGTCTGTCTCCTTGTTGTCAGTGATGTCTGTCCCATTGTTGTCAGTGATGTCTGCCCCATTGTTGTCAGAGATATATGTCCCTTGTCCCTTGTATTTTGTGATGTCTATCCCTTTGTTGTCTGATGTCCCTCCCCTTGTTGTCAGTGACATTGAGGTCTGTCCCCTTGTGGTCAGTGAGATTGCTGTTCACCGCTATAATGTGTAAAGATTTAATCTCTTATTGGACTATATAAACAAAGAGTACATTTTGAGTTTTTTGTTTTTGTTGTTACATTCTCAACAAGCTTAACGACCTGAATTTGACGCTAAAAGTATTTAAGTATAGGCCAAAACGTGCCAAGTGTACTTGTTTTTATAGCCATTTTAATGTTTTAGCTACTGTTTTTATAGCCATTTTTCACATTGTAGTTACTATTCTAGTGTATCTGGTTTTTCATTTTTATTTGCTTTAGCAGGATAAATAGTTCACAATTTTTTTCAATAATTGTAAAGCGCTTAGAGCTGTAAGGTAAGCGCTATACAAAAATGCCTAAATAATAATAGTAATAATAATAATAATAATAAACGTGTGTTAGTTCATGACATTTTTGCGAAGCCAAAGTCTGTTCAAGGGGTACCCAATTTGTGTTCTCTAACAAAAAAGCCAACAATTGGTATCCTTAAAAGGTTGAATAGTTTAAAAGCATTGAGGGCCAGTTTGTTCTACTCACTCAGCCATGTGAGAGCCAGTTGGTTCTACTCACTCAGCCATGTGTGGGCCAATTAGTTCTACTCACTCGGCCATGTTTGTATTATTTGGTTAAGCTTCTACTGTACATTTGCAAGAACAGCGGCTCTCAACCTGTGGGTATCGACCTCTTTGGGGGGCAAACGACCCTTAAATAGGGTCACCTAAGACCATCAGAAAACACATATTTAGGAAGTAACATCGAAAATAAATTTATAGTTGGGGTCACTATAACATTAGGAACTGCATTAAAGGGTCGCGGTATTAGCAAGTTTGAGAGCCACTATGCTAGAATAAATACACCTGCAGACTGGCAACATTATTAAAGAGAAATTCAGAGATATGGAATTAACCAAAAAATGTATATACCACTGGAACGTGATGCGTTAATACGAAGTTAAAATTTCTTGCCATTAAAATGTTTGTTTTATTTAGCTCAACGTACATCTCAGACCAAAATGATTCTTGTGTGCACACCTTAGACCAAACTAACACTTGTGTGCACATCTCAGACCAAACTAGCTCTTGTGTGCATATATGTGACCTTAAATTACATTACAACTGTGACCATCTAACTGTTGCATATGCGTCTGTGACAAAACTTATATTAGCATGTACATTTCTGTTCAAACTTACTCTCACATGTACTTCTGTGACCAAACTTTCTGTTGCGTTTACAGCGGTGCCAAACTTTCTGTTGTGTGTACATCTCTGACCAAAATGTCTGTTGCGTGTACATCTGTGACCAAACTAAATATTGCGTGAAAATGTGACATTAAGCTTACATGTACATCTGTCCCCATACGAAAGTTTGTATTTGCATGTTTTAATATGTAAGATTTTTATTTGGTTTCATGGAAATTGTATTTAAAATTAATTTAAAATGATAATTTCAGGGTTTTTCGTACTGATAAGGACTTAGGGCCCATCAACTGGAGTGACGTCATTTCGCATTTTGTTTTTAATTAAAGCTTAACTCGACTGTCATACTAACACACTTTCTTTGTGTCTTATTCATTAACTTAATATTACCACAGCCTGAATCCATTATAATCTTTTAAATACATTTTGCTTCTTGTGTGTCCTGCTTCCTTTTCACAACCGCCCCCCCACTCAACCTGTTTTATATGAATATATGTTACTGAATTGGTGAAAATTGTCACGCAGCGAATTTTATAAGTGACGTCAGAACTCAGTTAAAAATAGTTAAATTTTGTTTTCTTTAGACTATATTGGGAAGTTACTATTATATTAACCAATGAGGAGACACGGGTATGGTGTCCAACTGTTTATAGAACTATTGTTAAAGGTCGGCTTTTAGGCTGAAGGACTGTCTGTTAGAACTTGTTTTAAATGCAGACATTATAGACATTGACTATTTAACTCTTTCTTTGGCACCTGTTTAAGCCTTAGTTAGTTAATGTTTTAAGAACTAGTACAATGACAAAACTATTTTCATTATATTTCGCGCTTTGAAGATCGAATTTACGCATGTAAATGCCCAAATTTAAGGACTTCATCTCAAACTGGATATCTGCGATAAACCCTGCTGGCATTGCACCCTGGACATAGAAACGGGGGAACACCTGTTGTCTTCATGCCCAAAATTTGAACTTGAGGAAAGCGGGCGAGTCTTAGGGTCATAATATATTTTATGACACAGCTAATCAGAAGGAGATTGTTGCCTGTGTGTTGAGTCGCCAAGACTCGCACTAAAACATACGGTGAACGATCGTTCTCTTTCTGTGCACCCAAACAATGGAATTCTCTTCCATTACTCATCCACAATATACCGACCATCACAACCTTCAAAACTGCACTCAAAACACATCGATTTAATCTCTACTATCCTGACTGATTCCCACCTCTGACCGTAAGACGATGGTACTGAGTGTCGTCCATGGCTTGAGATGTAAATAGTTTTATATATACATTTGTTTTGTTTTATTTAATTAATGTATGTCAATTAATTATTTCAGATGTTTATTATGTTTGTTAAATTGTATGTACAGCGTGGTGAGCCCAGCCCTAGGCTGGGGTACCACGCTATATAAAACCACGTATAAAAATTATAATAATAATAATAAACATTGTTTCCTGTGTGTTGTTAGCCAGGTCATTGTATGGTACAGTCAATCAGAAGGAGATTGTTGTCTGTATGTTGTTAGCCAGGTCAAAACAGAGTGAGATTTCAGCCATTG